AACCTTTCCAGTTCCGTGTGCAACACAGAGCAGGGAGCCGTCATGGCAATGCCGATGGCTTGTCACGTGTGCACTGTCTGGCGTCCCAAGCTGCCCAACCCCTTGGCGTTGAGCAGGGGGGAAGGATATGTGACAGACCCAGACCAGTGGGGTACAAGAGTCTGGTAGAGGGCAAATATACTGGTCACTGGATGAGTAGTTTTCTGTTCTCTGAGTGACCAGAGCAGGGGCTGCACTAGGGTAATCAGGAACCTGCTAGAACCAGTTAAGGCAGGCAGGCTAATTAGGACACCTGGAGCCAATTAAGAAGAAGCTGCTAGAATCAATTAAGGCAGGCTAATCAGGGAACCTGGGTTTTAAAAGGAGCTCACTTCAGTTTGTGGTGTGAGTGTCAGGAGCTGGGAGCAAGAGGCACAAGGAGCTGAGAGTGAGAGGGTGTGCTGCTGGAGGACTGAGGAGTACAAGCGTTATCAGACACCAGGAGGAAGGTCCTGTGGTGAGAATAAGGAAGGTGTTTGGAGGAGGCCATGGGGAAGTAGCCCAGGGAGTTGTAGCTGTCATGCAGCTGTTACAGGAGGCACTATAGACAGCTGCAATCCACAGGGCCCTGGGCTGGAATCCGGAGTAGAGGGTGGGCCCGGGTTCCCCCCCAAACCTCCCAATGGACCTGGACTGTGGGTTCTTCCAGAGGGGAAGGTCTGTGGGCTGTTCCCCAACACACATGGTGAATCTCTGAGGCAAGAAAATCCGCCAATAAGCGCAGGACCCACCAAGATAGAGGAGGAACTTTGTCACAGTATACAGATGCATACTGTAGAAATGAGAGATGGTATTCTGCGAGATATTTCATGGAACTTATTCACAGCTATGACTAAAGGAACAATCAAATAAACATCATGACAATTTCACCAAGTCTCTGACAAAGATACAAAGGGGTTTTAAGCTGAAAATTAGGTAAAATATGGTGGAGAAAACAAATGGTTCTAATTTTTAAAGGATTCTGATTTATGAAATTGGTAAATCTACCTCCCAAATGTTTTCAATCATAGTTACTGGTTTGACCGGACAGCAAGGGATTCAAATTAAAATATGCTTGCCTAAAAAAATTGCATTAGAAATCCACTTTTGCATACTTTTGCATTTTAATTAGGAGCAAGTATTCCCTCTGGGCTTTATAATTACATATTGAGGGGGAATGTTGTCAAAAAGAACAGCAACAAACATATGTGATATCAGTGTAGTCTGTGATACAGTGCATTTCAGAACAGAATACCTGCATCCAATGTGCCTATATAGTAAAGACGGAATGGTTTAGAAATGTTTTTGAGTTGTGGAGATGAGGAAGGTCCATTATTAAACATATTTTGTGGGAAGGAAAAAGTGGGGACTGCGGAAGTTGATGAATGAGACTAAGAAAAGGCTGAGTCCTCACCCTGCTCTCAAGCTAGCACACACACACACTTGTTTAGTGTCCATAACTTGCCCCACTTTCTGGGGTCTTCTCTTATTCTTAACAACAAAATATAAACTTCAGCCTAAGATCCCTCTTGACATTGGAGTTTTTCCGAGGGTTTCCCGAGGAAATCCTTTTTCCTTTGCAAAGGACATTCCAAACCTTGGTTAGAAAAAAATGGACCCACCTGGTTTGACTCCAAGGGTGAATAGTGTAGTTGTAGCACTGTTGATCCCAGCATATCAGAGAGAAAAGGTGGGTGAGCTATTACCACGTTTCACCTTGCCTCTCCTAGGGTGAGTAGGCAGAAGAGGTCGCCATCTCTCTGTAAAAGGCTCATAGCACATGCTTTGTTACTGGAGGGAAAGGAAGTTGACAGAAGGATAGCAAGAAAAGTCAATATACAGAAAGGACATCTGGGTCCTAGCCATTTACAACCATAAAAATATCCTGAGATCACAATGTTCAATGGTTTGTGCTTTTTAAAGGGGTTAGACTAAGTTGTGAGAGAAATCTTGACAGCACATAGCCTATTGTTAGCATTAGCATCGCTGACATTGCAGAAAGACAATCAATACAACCTATGAAGATTACTTTTACCCTTTTACTTTCCTTGCTATCAAATCACATCCTTATACCACAATTTCCATCCAGCAACCTAGAGGAAGCAGTGAGAGAGAGACTTAGAAAAACCTTTATGAAGGATACCCTCATGAAACTAAACTATTGCCCCCCTCCCCCCCAATGTCAAGACGAAGTTAAGGTTGTAAGCACACATAGAATCATAGAAGATTGGGATTGGAAGAGACTTCAGAAGGTCATCTAGTCCAAGTCCCCTGCTGAGCGCAGGACCAACCCCATCTAAATCATCCCAGCCAGGGCATCAAGCCAGACCTTAAAAACTTCTAAGGATGGAGATTCCACCACCTCCCTAGGTAATCAATTCCAGTGCTTCACCACCCTCCTAGTGAAATAGTTTTTCCTAATATCCAACCTCTACCTCCTCCACTGCAACTTGAGACCACTGCTTCTTGTTCTGTCATCTTGCACCACTGAGAACAGCTGAGCTCCATCCTCTTTGGAACCCCCCCTTCAGGTAGTTGAAGACTGCTATCAAATCCCCCCTCACTCTTCTCTTCTGCAGACTAAATAATCCCAGTTCCCTCAGCCTCTCCTCTTAAATCATGTCTCCCAGCCCCCTAATCATTTTTGTTGCCCTCTGATGGACTTTTTCCAATTTCTCCACATCCTTTCCGTAGTGGGGGGCCCAAAACTGGACACAGTACTCCAGATGTGGCCTCACCAGTGCCATATAGAGGGGAATAATCACTTCTCTCGATCTTCTGGCAATGCTCCTACTAATGCAGCCTAATATGCCGTTAGCCTTCTTGGAAACAAGGGCACACTGTTGTCTCATATCCAGCTTCTCATCCATGGTAATCGCCAGGTCCACATAGGGGGTTTTGAGTGTAAATTACCTTTAACCAACATGCAAGTTAGAAATAAACATGATTTAGGGACTCAGGAAATTCAGAAGTAAGGTTATACTTACAAGTAACCCAGACCTTTATTGGGAAATTGAGACACATTAAAATCACTCTACATGTTATATTGGCATAAGAGTTTGCATTCCAAATAAATATTAGAAAAAAATTATTTTGTCAAATCTTACCAGGTAATACACAATGACACACACCATATGACTTCCATCTTCCATAATGCATCTTGAATGTGGATTTTGCATGTTTTACTGTTTTGTGCCTACAAAAATAGTTTTTAAAATTACTGGACAAAGCTTATTCTTCAGGGACAATGTTTTAGGGGATGCAAAAATTGTACAGTTTTCTACTGCATGATTATTGTTTAACACATACTTTTCTCTAATCCAATGCTTCTTAGTAACTCTTTACTAGAAACGGGTCACTAAATGAGGGACGCCCCTTAAAAGTACCAGACAGCTGGTCAACTTTAAAATCATGAAAGCCAAAACAACACATATGTAATGAACCTACTGTACACCAAGTCTACTGAGATTTTTGTTCTCATACTCCTAAAGAGTTTTAAAGCTACATCAGGTATTCTGTAAATGATGTGCCATTTCAGACATTTAAAGCAGCAAACTGCACCTAACCAAAACATTTGGCCTCACTACTTTATCTTTCAGATTCTACTAGTTACATTTCTTTATATTTAACTAGTCAGGCTGTTTTTGATATACTAGTCCAAAAATCAAAAAATCCACATTTTCCAAGTCTACTTGCAAAGATTTAGTGTCATATTATTATACTCATTACTGGTCAAGCTGATCATTTTAACAATCACAAATATACTCTGAGCTGCATGTTTTAGCACTGCAAGAATTACACACTCTGCTGAATGAGCTCCATACTCTTCAAAATGCAATGACATGCTTTATTCATCTAGCTCCATACACTAAATGAGCCAGTTGAATACTGCAATCTTTGTTTTCAGACCCGTCAACTGGGATGCATGGTTTGCTAATTTGGCTGCATACTTCCCTAATCAAACTTGTAACTAAATCATTCTGCACCTTTTGCTTATTAAGCTCTGTTTCCCCTTCTTTCCTTCCTTCCTCCACGTGTTTTGATTGTGAGTGTGCTGACTGCAGAGGGTTCGTGATCTGGCATCCATGGCTCCTTTATTATGACTAAAGGTCACATTCTGTGGCATTAGAGAGACCTGATGAAATGGCCTAAGTGCTCCATGATGATGAATTATATGCCTCACTGAATGGTCATTATAGAATGTAACTGACAACACGCTTCTTTTTTGAAATGGAGAGAATTTGTTCAGTATTGGTAAAATTACTTTCGGTGAGTTGACCAGGAAGAGGATTAGCTAAATTGGGTGATAAAACTTAGTTAACCATCAGTCAGGTGATAAAAAAATTATTTTCTTAATGCAAACCAAGAAGGAATGCCCCCAAACTCTTATTAATTAAAACATTGGTCAGATAATGCTGAATATGTTTCCCAAGCTATTCAGAGAAGTATTTATTTATATATTTAATGTTCAAACTTCAGTAGGTCACTCGCAATGTGGGTATAGTGACTAATCACACACACAGAATGGTTTCTGCAACCTGACTGGATGCCCGAACCTTTATACATCTATGCTAAAAGGTAATATAATCTTTACAAACAAGAGCAATGCCCAAATAAATCATTCGTGATCTCTTGGGGAAGAGAGAAAGAGAGGGAACAAACATTTTAGGAAACAGACAAAGATAAGCAGGCTTGAAATATTTTTAGCCTGTTTAAAATCTTTCCTTGTGTTCTTATGCATAAGAACACATAACACAGTTTAAAACTATGTATATGGGCCTCAAATTTTAAAATAACTGGATTGGACTGAATATGTATTGGCCATCCAGCAGATTTTTTGTACAATTTTATTTAATCTAATTCACTCCAGGTAACTGTATGTGTCTGTACTTGTTCGGTCCCATTTGTGAAGTTACTGACTAGAGACTTGTGTAGCTCATCTAATTGCCTAAGTACATGTGGGCACTGGCTAGTAGCTTGATTGTTCATGGCAAGTTACAGAATAAATTGCCTATGTGTGTGTTTTAATTGCTTGGCCTTTTGACATGTAATATGTGACAACTTTATAGCTTGGTCAGTTTTTAGTCCTAGTACTGACAGCATGGGCTATGCAAATGCATACATACCTAGTAAACTAACTATCATTCTGATGTACTATGACTGAACCAACACATGGCATCTTTAATTCCTCATCTCCTCATACAACGGTCACCATTAAAAAAGTCAGTAAATTTTTTAAATTACCACTGTTTACCTATGTTTATTATAGCATATAATGATGGCATCTCAGACATCACTGCTGACATTTTAATGCCATCACTTGTGTGCCCTCTTTATGTTATGTAATAAAAGAAAGCAATCTTAGGATTGATTTTCCCCAAGCAAGGGAAACTTTACTGGTTGCAACTAGGCTCCTAGAAAACTATATGTAATACAAATAAATCTACATAACAGTCCCCTCAAAGAGGCATTTTTCTCTACTTTTCCCTGGACTTACATAGGTGAGTTGAGGAGGAAGAAAGGCAAGAAAAACAGAACAAATAGCAAACACTCAAAAAATGACTTAGGAAATATCATAGATTGGTCAAAAGGATACTGCAAACATAGATGTTGAGAAGAGGTATAATTTACAGACATTTTCCACTTCCTTTGGAAATGGCTCTAATTTGCTTTGTGTGGTTCTAGTTTGGCTAACTTATCTTAGTCTGCTCTGAAGAAGTACAGAATACATGGGGCTGTGAGCAGTAATCAATGGAGCTGAGGTTTTATTCATGAGAATTTCATGAGAATTTACTATAAATCATTGACTTTTCTTCTTGTATTACACGTTTTTAACTAATAAAGACTGTGTAAGTGAATTTGTAAATGTGGGCCCTCATGTTTATGCACTGTGGGTCATACTAATTTGAAAGGATAATAAAATAAAATGGTACGGACAGAATTACCGGTGGGGTGGGGTGGGAGAACCTGATATGTGTTTAGCCATATCTTTCTGAGATATGCTCAGAAAAATCATCAATCATTAATGGTGCTAGGCAGACATATTTGAGCTGCTTAGTGTCCTTTAACAAAAATGTTTTATTTCTATCCTCTCATTCTGCACATTTTAGAAATTCCAAGGGCTAAAATCTCAGTCCAAGGCCCAATGACATTAATAACAGTCTTTCCATCCACTTCAGTGGGCAATGGATCACACCCTTAATCATGCAACTAAGCATGTAGTGGCCAATGAGAACTTTATTACAGTATTCTGCATAGTCTGTGCAGATGCAGGCAGAGGAGCAGATCCTCGGTGCAAGTTATTATCACTCCATTGAAGTCACAGAGCTATGACAACTCTGAATGTCTTGCAGAATCTGAGAGTATCCTGATACCCCTAGGTGCTCACAACAGCTTCTGTAGCACCCACTCTCCTCAGGTGCTAGTTGGAGCATAGGAGGGTGAGGCTAAACAATTTTGTTTGTTTTTTGAGGTAGAGCACCATTAGCCCTCCTGGTCTGTCTACTCTATGCTTTACATAGGTGCCCAAGCAGCCAGGGGAAGAGGATCCGTGGATCCATTTCCCCAACTGTACATGTGTAGAAAGAGACATAGTTACTCCCTAAATATAAAATATCAGAAGTCAGTGCAAGTAAATAGTGTTTCTTTATTATCTGTAAATTATTAAAGAAAATCTGATGTCTCATAAGAAAAATTTATAAACATTTTTGGAAACAATTTTTCCTATGCTCAGTGTCATTACAGTTTATTGATTTAATCTCCAATCAGCCTTTATTACAAGGATATGTTACAGAATTTACTTCCTGAAATTTAACACATCCTGCTACTTAGTACTTACCTGAAGACAGAGTATGCTCAGCTGGCAGCATCATAAGCATTTCTACAGCAACCAATGTGATGTTATGATAATAATAGTATTATGACTTCCAGTAAGGAACAATCAGTGAGAGCAGACAATCTCTTAAAAAACAAATCTCATAGTATCTAAATGTCTTTAATCATAAAGAAGGAGAGAATAGAAATAAATAAAATAAACAATTTTTTTTTCTATTTTTTAAACATTTGTATTAAGAATTTTATCAATACAAGCACAAAATAAGGAGAAACATTTTTGTATTAGAATTCTATTATAAAATAATGAATCACAAAAGCTTGATTTCCCATATCTAGTTGCAATTCAAATCCCACTCAGGTGGGCATTTGATTTCCAAAGCGGATGACTTCTAACCATAACAAATTAAACACTGTCATTTTGTTCATTTTGCATGGTAGATGTTTATATGGAGGCTGCTTCGGCCATTTCCAAATATCAGTGATTTATTGTTGGAACACTGACACCTACCTGCCTTCTCAGAATCAATCTCCTTACAATCTTCATAGATTTCAGCAGCAGAACAGCCAGAGACGCAAAGGTGACATTGATGCCATGTAAAATATTGCAGAAGACTTATTGGACTCCATCCCATATCTTTAAATAGTAATTAAGGGACAATATCTGTTGGGGATGTGGTGGAACATACCCTTGTATAAGTTATTTGATCATATACTCAGACTAAAAGATTAAGCTTAGAAATAGTAACACAACGTAGAATCTGGGGGCCTGATTCTCAGTTGATGAAAACTAGTCAAACTCCATCGAAGTCAAGGGATCTAAAATTAACTTACACCATTTGAGGATCTGATCTTGCGATTAAAAATCACCCCCTTTCTCACTATGTAGTTTCCAAGCACTGCATACATAATTATATATAAACAAATGGCTTGATACTACTCTTTCACAAACAGAATTGTTTCTAAATGGAACATCTTTCAAAATGCATCACAAGGTATCAGCAGCTTTTGAAAAGATGCAGTGTTTTGCTGAGACAGTATTATGCACTGAACTTACTCGAGTCACAGGGCTGCTTCTTGATTGTCATTACAATCATTTGGGGGTGGGAGGGAACTATGCCTATACTAACAAGTCTCTAAAATCTGAAAAACACAACCTAACAACAACAGAAAAAAAGGGGGATATTATTGTAAACCACTTGTCCTTGAGAGAAATGAAAATCATTCCTCATTCTTCTGTCATGCACATGCTTAGCTAAATACAAATGGCAAGCTATCAGCAGTATTCAGTGAAAACAGGTATATGATGGAAAGAAACTTCATAATAGAGTGAATGAATCAAAGATTATTAGCAACCTTAAAGAA